GGGCACTGGTCAAACCCTCCCTGGAGCTAACACAGTTTATATCATCTTCCAAACTGAATTTAAAGTGGTGATCATATTACTATCAGCCTCATGTGGTTGTTATGAAGATTAAATATATGCAAATACTCTTACAAGTTTGAGGACATAAGTGAGTCACTCTGGAAACATTACATATGATTAGTCTTATTTATAAGGAAGAACTGAGAGGAGGGACAATATGTTAAGGGGTATATTGGTTCTCATTTCCCATATTAACCCCATAGGGATTCTGAGTGTAGTTCATGTTCAATAAGAGAACATAGTATTCAATTCCTTACTCTGATGATGATAATAATTATAAAATGATGGCTCTCATAATTACTGTGTTTAGCAGTTTCTATGCCTTACCTCAATGTTTCACAAAATATGCTGGACAAAGGTCCATGGGCAAATATTGTTAGTTTTAATAGAAATTTATTTTAATGTGTATTAGTAAGAAAAATAGTAACTAGGACATCAAATTCATTATTTCTTGACCACCATAACGTAAGATGAAGCCAAAATTAAAAACCAAAAACAACTATAGGTTGAAATTTTATCTATCTACCTAAAATACATAGTAAATTTAACTTATGTAAAATATGCACTCTTTTGTCCTATGTATCTATACCTAAATCAGATCTTCCTTGATTTATATGGGTTACATCCAGAAAACACATTGTAAGTTGAAAATATTGTAAGTCAAAAATGCACAGAGAGGCACCTGAATGGCTCAGTTGGTTAAATGTCTGACTCTGGATTTGGGCTCAGGTCATGATCTTATAGTTCGCGAATTTGAGCCCCATGTTGGGCTCTGCACTGACAATGCAGAGCCTGCTTGAGATTCTCTCTCTCCCTCTCTCTCTGGCACCCTACCCTGTTCTCTCTCTCTCTCAAAATAAAAAAACATTAAAAAAATTTTAATGCATGGAATACACCTAGACTACTAAACAACCTAACTTAGCCTAGCCTACCTGAATAGGTGCTCAGAACACTTACATTAGTCTACAGTTGTGTAAAATTATATAACACACAGCCTCTTATGATGTTGAATATCTCAAGAAATTTATCTGTACCAAAAGTGGAAACACGAATGGCTGTATAGAGAACGGTTTTAAGTGTATGGTGGTTTATCCTTGTGACTGCGCCTGACTGAGCTGTGGCTCACCGCCACTGCCCAACATCACAAAAGAGTATCGTGTCACACAAAGCTATCCCAGAAGAAGATCCAAATTCAAAATTCAAAGTATGGTTTCTACTGAATGTTATCACTTTCATATCATTGTAACATCAAAAACTTGTAAATTTAACTATCAGAAGTTTTGTGTGTGTATATATATATATAGAAAGAGAGAGAGACAGAGGGACAGAGAGTTAAAAAAATAGGTTTATGTGGATATGACATGGCAAACATTTTGTAGAAGATATTGTTTTATTTCATTTCATCCTTATCCTCCTGTCTTATGAGGTAGGTGCCATCATTCTCTCCATTCTACAAGTGAAAAAAAATCCATGTTTAAAAAGGCCTGACCACTGTGATGAGCACTGGGTATTATATGAAAACCAATTTGACAATAAACTATAATAAAATAAATAAATTTTTAAAAAGACCCAACATTTCTGAAGACTTTCTAAGCAAATGGTAGACCTGGAGCTCAAACTCTTAATCTTTGCTCTCTGTTGTGCCATCCCTGGGATTGTTTCTCACTTTCTTAAGAATGTTTTTTTTTTCCCCAAAAAATTTTCATATTAACATTTATTATTTTTCTCCTATAAAATTAAGATTTATTCATTATAGAAATTTTTGAAAATAAAAAGATTTCTTTCTTTTAGAATAGAAAAAGAAAAATAATTTTATTTATTTTAAGTTGTGGTAAGAACACGTGAGATCTACACTTTTTTTTTTACTGACGTATAGTTGAAATAGTTCTATACTCAACAACTTTTAAAGTGTACGGCATAGTATTGCTACCTCCAGGGACAATGTGCAGCAACCTCTTTTTACTTACCTGTTATAGCTCTGTAAGATGGGCCAAACAAAGACACTGAGAGAGGTCAGAAAATCCCTGGAACTTCACAAGAAAGTATAAGCACACCAGGATTTCTGGTTCCTAGGCCCCTTCCTTTAAACCACAATGCATCACATGATGGTCCCTGGCAAGTAGCCCTGTCCTTCAGAAGACAAAGTAACATAATTGACAGAGAAGCATCAGAAGCCAGGGTAACCTTTTCCCTTTTGGAGAGCAGGGTCTGTAAGTGCTGATCTCGGCTCTATCCCAGGGTGGCTGCCTCAGAATCTTTGCTGGCCTCTTCTGAGCAAGGGACTCAACTCAAGGGACGTGTGCCATCTGATTTTATTAAGCCACTTCTCAATTCAAATAGTGAGTTTGAACACATAACTGAAGCACTACCAAATTACCAATTTTTGACTTTTTGTTGGTTTTCAGTTTGGTGCTTTTGAGTCTTTGTGGCTCTCTGCTTCCTCCAGTAGTAAATCGAGGGCAAGGAGAGCAGGCTAGAATGTTGAATAGGCAGCAGATGACATTAGTGCCCACAGAAGCACACACCATATAAACGGATGTTTGTGGACTCAACTATAATGCAGCTCAAAAGGAGCCATTCACTCTAAATGTGATCTTATGAAGTTCCATCATAGGACCCCATGTGTTTTAGAAGCTACGCTCTTTTCTTGCCTCCACTTAGTCAGATGGCTATAAGCCCAAGTGCTTCCATTTGGCATTAAAAAACAGCACCAAGAAGCTCATGTTCATTTTGACCCTAGGGCCACAGCTGAGCTGAAGGGCTGAATGCCTCACACCTTTCCCATTTCAACAAAAATACACCAGTCCCAGGTGCTTGCTAAAAATTCTCTTCTTCCCCATCATTATTACCAAAAGACTGTCCAGAAACAGGTAATACGAATAAAATGTATTTCTTTTTGGGGCCTAATGGTTTAATGGAAGGATTTGGTAAGGAAGCTGTATATCTCCTAGTGGGCTCTGAAGGTGATTGTTAGCATATGCTGTTATTTATTGATTAGTAACTCTTACTCCTGTTACTTTTTTTTAAATGTTTTATTTATTTCTAGGAGAGAGAGAGAGACAGCGTGAGCAGGGGAGGGTCAGAGAGAGAGGGAGTCACAGACTGAAACACGCTCCAGGCTCTGAGCTGGCAGTCAGCACAGAGCCCGACGCGGGGCTCGAACCCACCAACCGCAAACCGCGAGATCATGACCTAAGCGAAAGTCGGACGCTTAACTGACTAAGCCACCCAGGCGCCCCACTCCTGTTACTTTTCAAAGCTCCTGCCAAACCGTGTTTTCTGGGTAAATTATTCTTAAAAAGTTGTTGCCTATAATGAGTTGTCAGACACCTGAGCACAGCTTGCTTGCAGGTCTGGGCACTAGTGTTCATCGGGCTCCACCTCTTTACCAGCCCTCATCTCATGCATTTCTGGACAGCTCAGCCACTGATAGAATGTGGTCAGTGAGCTTCACAGACACAATAGGAGGCATTATCCAGGCTCCCAGTCTGAAACCCAACAGGGAAGAAGACAATTGAAAACAAACAAGGGATCAGACCTTTGATGTTACACAAAGCAAATTGCATTTCAAGCTCTGGAGAACATGAGCCATTCTAAACCTGATTAAGAGTCATCCGGTACCAAATTGTGATAAATGTTTATTTTGGAAAAGTGGATTGTCAGTGTTTTCAGAATCTGCTTATTCACCCAGAAAGAATTTGTTTTCCTCTTTATTTGGGAGTAAGAAGAGAATGCCTTGAGTTGTCGTGAATTGTTTCCTGGGCAAAATTTAGAAGGAGTTTGTTTTGGCTGCTGTTCCAATAACTGTCCAGATCCCCATGATGTAGAGATTCTCACCTGGCCACTCTGACTCAGTGTCTGGATATCCCTCACTTTCCTGCCCTTCCTACAGGTGTGCCCAATCTCTACTGACTCTGGGGTGGGAGGTTAATGAGTTCATTTTAAAGGAGGAGTGATCTGAATGGCTTAGTAGGGTAAGCGTCCGACTTCAGATCAGGTCATGATCTTATGGTTCAGGAGTTTGAGCCCTGCGTTGGGCTCTGTTCTGACAGCTTGGAGCCTAGAGCCTGGTTCAAATTCTGTGTTTCCCTCTCTCTGCCTTTGTCTCTCCCCGGCTAGCTCTCTCGATCTCTCTCTCAAAAATAAACATTAAAAAAATAAAAAGGGAGTGATCATAGAATTCAGACAAACATAGCTGGGGAGAGGGTTTGGATCTGTTTTGTCCTTATTTTATTTTTGTAAAAAATAAAATGCTACATAAATTTTGGAGGACAAAAAGAATCATTCCTAATTCTTCCATGCTTTGTAGTTGCTAAGAAGCTTCTTTGATCTTTAAGTGCACTTATTTGTACACATAAATGTATGCTTTTTACATAAAATGAAATCATTAATGTTTTGTTTTGAACATCATTCCATGTTGAAAAGCAGAGTTGTCTATCATTTTTAATCACTACTGAATAATTTTCTGTTGGTAGGCTCCTTTCCCCACTGTTCTCCTTTGTTTTCTCCTCTCCCTTCCTAGTCTTTTCTCCTTTCTTCACTGCATTTCTCTTATCTATTTTCTTGCTCATAAATCATCCTTTTTTGCTTTAGCTCCATTTAATGTTTTCTTTTTTCACTGTAATATTTTGTAATACACCTTCAATGTTAGCAAATAAATGAAAGAGAGAGTTTTTACAGTTTTGGGCTATGCTGATTTTAAAATTTATACCAAAATAATTTGTTTCCATTTTTTCTCGTTGGTGGCTTTGTAATATTTTCTATCCAGTTTCTCTTAGGATAAACATGACAGTACTTTGAAAGCCTTTCATATCCCCAGAAGGAAGAAATGATGAAGAGACCAGACATGATAATGAATGTTTATGATCTTTACTTAAGAACATGACAGTCTCAAGGCCTCTGTCACTTCTGGGTCTTAATGATTTATCTTGTTTCCTCAGACCTTGCACCAGCCCACAAAGATGGGCAGAATGAAGTAGACAGTGCACCAGAAGACCTCCAGTCTGTTGGGACTAGCAGGCTGCTCTATCACATCACAGATGGTGACAACCCACTGCTGTCACCACGATGCTCCATCTTCAGCCAAAGCCAGAGATTCAACTTAGACCCTGAATCAGCCCCTTCTCCACCCAGCACTCAGCAGTTTATGATGTAAGAAAACCTTATCTTCATATCATACACTTTTTCCTACATTTATAACCTGTAATGAAGTGTATGTATGAAATAGTGCAGACATGTCTACCAAAATGCAACTGCAAGACCTGAGCAATGAATGTCCACAATCAGTGTACTTTCTACTTGGGAATGCTGTGTCAGGTCTTTCCATCTCAGGAGGAAATGGTCATGAGATGCAGGATACCCCAGGGCTTCCATGTTTGAAAATGTTTGGTCAAATGACCAGGGTCCTAAGTAAGAATATGCCTATGCAAATATCTTGGTGAGCTCAATATTCTTTCCATGCCCAACAGTAGTTTCAAGGGGGTAGCTTGTGGCAGTGCGTGGGAGTTGTCTACCTCACTTTCTTCTTAGATTCTAGAAAATTGGTAGCTTACAATAGCTGCCCTCCATTCCCCACAAAATGTGTGGAACTGCACATTCTTTTTTTAAAAAAAAAATTCTACAAATAATTTTGAGGCAAAGCTAACATGAGTATCCCTTGACTGAAAATATGTTTAGGGAATCCTAGTTTCTCCTTAGTAACTTCTGTTGTCATTAATGAATTTTCCAAATCTGAACTTGCAGGCTGTCTATTGATGGATTTGAGGGAGTTAATGGGTTATTGCTATTGTAAAGTATGGGCTATGTGAGAAGATGAAGGTATTTCCTGGAGGGGATGAGTCCATTCTTCTTATTAGATTTACAAAGGCACTACTGTGTCAAGAAAATGTAAGTACTTATCTATATCTTCTTTGAAGATGTTATTAGGTGGTCTCATGCAACCTGTTAGGAATGACATCACAGCAGGCTATCTCTTTTTGTCTTAAATTGGCCTCTGCCAAGCTTTAGGAAATGCATTTCTTAGACTAATGTTCTGACATTGTACATTAAAGTCCCTGATAGCATTTTTCCATAATGTAATTCTGTGATCAGTGGTCTCTATTAATGAGCAGATGCCACCATGGTAGACTCATCAAATAATGGACTGTCCTCTCTGATAATCCAGGAAGCTTGGTTTATAGACCATGTTTATGGGAAGACCATGGCTTTTGATGGTTCTCTCCCTCCCTGCAATTACTACAGGCCAAGAAGTTCTTCACGATGCGGCTCTGTTGATAGCAAGGAGCCACAGACCATTACCCAGCTCACCAAGCACATCCAGAGCCTCAAGCGAAAAATTCGGAAATTTGAAGAAAAATTTGAACAAGAAAAGAAATACCGGGTAAGGACCCTGTGGCTTGAAATAAGGGTAGATTGTGTCCAAGGTGTGTGGGCTTTTCTGTTCTTCCTTCTTGGGTACTCCTCTGTGCCAGGGGATAGCTGTTTTCATTCACCAACTCAGGATCTATTAGAAATTGAGTTCCTATCCTGAATCTGTCCTACTCTCACACGCTATCATTTGCTCCCTGCAAAGATATTTTCCAGTAATTGATTATAACTCTTATTTCCAAATGGATTTGATTATCGATCCTCCTATTTTTTCCTCCTAAGAAGCATTACTATCACTAATGTGTCTAGGACTGAAATTTAGAAAGCTTTTGAATTATGATCTTATTTTTCCTTTAACTCTTTACCATTTACAGGTTTGTAAGAACCTTTTAAGGACCCAAAGGACAGAATCTCTACTTGTAGAACAGAATGAGGGAGAGTTTTCTTTGACATAAAAATACCTCCTGATTTATAGATAAGAACCTATCAAGTGGCATCTGTTCAGGCCACTCATAAGAACAAACCTCAATCTATCCTTTCCAGTCCAAGAGACACCAGTCTTCATGCTGGTGTTGCAGTGTTGTAATAATGAACTTTTTCTTTCATTATATAAGAAACAATAGAGAGGTAAGTGTCCTCATGGCCAATGTTAGTTTTATTTATCTTCCCTGATGGTGACCATGGCATAGAGAAAAATCATATTCATGTAGAATTGCACAAAGGTATTGGGTCTTTGGCAGAAGGCCCAGACAGCTTGTTTTCAGAATAAAAGAGAACAGGGAATATTGTCTCATACATCTTGAATATTTAAAGGTTCACTAAGCCTTGGTACAGAGGCAATCAGCACATCCCTGTGAGTCGAGTAAGATTGGGGAAGGGAGGTTAGAGTGGATGATATCCCAATCTCTCATTCTTTCTGACTGTTTCCCACAGTGGCTTCCAATTCACTAAATGAGGAGTGTAAAGAGTGATTTTTAGCTTTTCACAACAGGAAAAAAAAAATCAGACAGCTTTGCCTTTTCCTTCAGACAACCTTTTCCTTCTCGAAGCTACTTACTGTCTTTTTTTAATAAAATTTTTAAAGTGTTTATTTTACTTTTAAGACAGAGACAGAGCTTGAGTGGGGGAGGGGCAGAGAGAGAGGGAATCACAGAATCTGAAGCAGGCTCCAGGTTCTGAGCTAGCTGTCAGCACAGAGCCCGACATGGGGCTCGAACCCACAGACCATGAGATCATGACCAGAGCCAAAGTCAGCCGCCCAATGGACTGAGCCACCCAGGTGCCCCAGCTACTTACTATCTTTTACCTTTTTAGAGCAGGAGGGCACTTTACACATAATGAATGTAGGCCTTTATTTTACAGATAAGGAAACAGACCCAGAAAAGACTTGTAACTTGGCTTAGGTAGTTGTGTTCTATCAGCTCAGACTTGGGGTGGTAGATTAAAGATGAGTGGGTTTTGCAATGGAGGAATAGAAGTAAAATTTGCAAGTATCCACATTTTGAAAGTTCTAGATATCTTGAGAGAAACTGATTTTCTCTGTTTGCAGCTAGAGTGTTATTGGATCTGTGATGGACCTTGGGGAGTGTAGAGTAGGCTCCATTTCCAGGGCCTGTTAATATTTTTTACCTGCCAGTTTTTTTTTTTAATTTCAGGTTTTTACTTAAATTCTAATTAGTTAACACATAGAGTAAAATTGGTTACAGGTGTAGGCTTTAATGATTTATCACTTAAATACAACACCCAGTGCTCATCACAAGTGGCCTCCTTAATACCCATCATCAATTTAGCCCATTACCGATTTAGCATAGTACACACTAACTCCATCCAAATCATTGAAAATGGCAAGATTTCATTCTGTTTAATGGCTGAATAATATTCCATTGTATATATACCTAGAAATTCTTTTTCAGGGGGCATTTCTTTTCATAAATTTACATCCAAGTTAGTTAGCATATAATGCAATAATGATTTCAGGAATCCAGTGATTCATCCTTTATAATAAACATCCAATGCTTATCCCAACATGTGTCTTCCTTAATGCCCCTTGCCCATTTAGCCCATCCCCTCTACCTCAAACCCCTCTAGCAATCCTCAGTTTGTTCTTTGTATTTAAGAGTCTCTGATATCCTGCCCCCACCCTGTTTTTATATTATTTTTGCTTCCCTTCTCTTATGTTCATCTGTTTTATATCTTAAATTCCACATATGAGTGAAGGCATATGATATTTATCTTTCTCTGACTGACTAATTTTGCTTAGTATAATACACTCTAGTTCCATCCATGTTGTTGCAAATGGCAAGATTTCATTCTTTTTGATTGCCTGTTAATATTCCATTGCATATATGTGGATATGCACATATATATATGCATATATATATATATACCACATCTTCTATATTCATTCATCAGTCAATGGACATTTGGGCTCTTTCCATACTTTGGATATTGTTGATAGTGCTGCTATAAACATTGGGGTGCATGTGCCCCTTTGAAACAGCACTCCTGTATCCTTGGATAAAGACTTATCCCTTGGATAAGTACAATTGCTGGGTCATAGGGTAGTTCTATTTTTAACTTTTTGAGGAACCTCCATACTGTTTTCCAGAGTGGCTGCTCCAGTTTGCAACCCCACCTGCAGTGTAAAAGGGTTCCTTTTTCTCCACATCCTTGCCAACATCTGTTGTTGCCTGAGTTAATTTTAGCCGTCTGACAGGTGTGAAGTGGTATCTCATTGTGGTTATGATTTGTCTTTCTCTGATGAGGGATGTTGAGCATTTTTTTGTGTGTCTGTTAGCCATATGGATGTCTTCTTTGGAAAATTTGACTATTCATGTCTTTTGCCCATTTCTTCACTGGATTATTTGTTTTTTGGCTGTTGAGTTTGATAAGTTCTTTAGAGATTTTGGATACTAACACTTAATCTGATATGTTATTTGCAAATATCTTCTCACATTCCATCACTTACCTTTCAGTTTTGCTGATTATATCCTTCACTGTGCAGAAGCTTTTTATCTTGTTGAGGTCCCAATAGTTCATTTTTGCTTTTTTTTTGAAAAAATTTTTTTAATGTTTTATTTATTTCTGAGAGAGAGAGAGAAGGGGGGGGGCGGTCAGAGACAGAGGGAGACAAAGAATCTGAAACAGGCTCCAGGCTCTGAGCTGTCAGCACAGAGCCTGATGCAGGGCTTGAACCCATGAGTGAGATCATGACCTAAGCCGAAGTTGGACGCCCAACCGACTGAGCCACCCGGGAGTCCCTGCTTTTGCTTTTGTTTCCCTTGTTTCTGGAGACATGTTTAGTAGGAAGTTGCCATTTCGGAGGTCAAAGAGGATTTGTCTGCTTTTTCGTCTAGGATTTTGATGGCTTCCTGCCTTATGTTTAGGTCTTTCATCCATTTAGAGTTTATCTTTTTATATGTTGTAAGATAGTGGTCCAGGTTCATTCTTCTCTATGTCACTGTTCAGTTTTACAAACACCATTTGTTGAAGAGATTGTTGTTATTCCATTGGCTATTCTTTCTTGCTTTGTCAAAGATTAGTTGGCCATATGTTTGTTGGCCCATTTCTGGATTATCTATTCTGTTCCATTGACCTATCTGTCTGTTTTTGTGCCAATGCCATACTGTCTTGATGATTACAGCTTTATAATACGTCTTGAAGCCTGGTATTGTATGCCTCCAGCCTTGGTTTTCTTTTGTTCTAGTTCTGTGAAGAATCCTGGTGTTATTTTGATCGGGATTGTATTGAAGATGTAGATTGCTTTGGGTAGTATCAACATTTTAAAAATATTTGTTCTTCCAACCCATGAGGATGGAATGTTTTTCTGTGTTTTTTAATCTTCTTTGATTTCTTTCATAAGCTTTCTAAAGTTTTCAGTGTATAGATTTTTCAACTCTTTGGTTAGGTTTATTCCTAAGTATTTTATGGTTTTTGGTGCAATTGTAAATGGATTAGATTCCTTGATTTCTGTTTCTGCTGATTCATTATTGGTGTATAGAAATGCAGTTAATTTCTGTACACTGATTTTCTATCATGCAACTTTGCTGAATTCATGGATCAGTTCTAGCAATTTGTTGATGGAATCTTTGGGTTTTCTACATAGAGTATCATATAGTCTGCGAAGAACCAGAGTTTGACTTCCCCCTTGCGGATTTGGAGGCCTTTTATTTCTGTATGTTGTCTGATTGCTGAGGTTAGGGCTTCCAACACTATGTTGAATAATAGTGGTGAGAGTGGACATTCTTGTCATGTTCCTGGTTTTAGGGGGAAAGCTCTGTTTGTCCCCATTGAAGATGATTTTCACGATGGGTCTTTCATATATGGCTTTTATGATCTTGAGGTATGATCCTTCTATCCCTACTTTCTTGAGGGTTTTTATCAAGAAAGGATGATGTATTTTTGTGAAATGCTTTCTCTGCATGTATTGAGAGGATCATATGGTTCTTATTCTTTCTATTATTAATATGTACCACATTGATTTAATTACAGATATTGAACCAGCCTTGCATCCCAGAAATAAACACACTTCATCATGGTGAATTTTTTTAAATGTATCGTTGGATCCAGTTGGTTAATATCTTGTTGAGAATTTTTGTATCCATGTTCATCAGGGAAATTGGTCTGTAGATCTCCTTTTAAGTGGGCTCTTTTCTGGTTTTGGAATCAAGGCAATGCTGACCTCATAGAATGAGTTTGGAAGTTTTCCTTCTATTTATATTTTTGGAACAGCTTCAAAAGTATATGTATTAACTCTTCTTTAAAAGTTTGGTAGAATTATCCTGGACTCTTGTTTGTTGGGAGATTTTTGATGACTAATTCAATTTCTTTACTGGTTATGGGTCTGTTCATGTTTCTGTTTCTTCTTGTTTTAGTTAAGGTGTTAATGTTTCTAGGCATTTGTCCATTTCTTCCAGATTGCCCAATTTATTAGCATATAACTGCTCATAATATTCTCCTATTATTTGTTTTTCTGCAGTATTAGTTGTGATCTCTCCTCTTTCATTCGTGATT